AGAAAATCAAACATATAGCCAGGCAGTGGTTGTGCACACCTCTAATCCCAGCTCTTGAGAGGCAGAGGCCAGTGTATCTCAGAGCTCAAGGCCAGTCTGGTGGTCTACACAGTGAGTTGAAGGACAGCCAGAGTCACACAGAGAAACCTTGTCTTAAAAAAAAAAATCAAACATTCACAGTACCCAATAATCCCATTTCTCAGTATTTACACAAAAGAAATTAGAAATTATGTCCACACAAAAACACTCAATACTTGCAATAATTTTATTCATAATAGGCAAAGCCTGGAAACGACCCAGGAAACAATTTGTCAGATTTTATACAATGGAATACTACTCAGCAATAAAAATGAGTCAATTATCAGTGCATTCAACAAAGACAAAAATGACAAAAGCAGTTACAGTAAGTACAAAAAGGCAAACATAAAAGACCAAATAATATAATAGTCCATTCATAAGAAATTTTAGAAAACTACTGCTTAAGAAGAAACTGTAGACAGGAACAAAAAGGAACTTTTCAATATGATGAAAATGTTTTATATCATCAAGGTATACACCTGAAATTTAGAGTTTTACTAATGTAAAATGTGCATTAAGCATTACCAAAACATGATTTATATTTTATAATTACAATAATCAAACATTCTAAGTTTTAAGGGTTTTATTATTGTGTATATGTATCAGTGTGTGACTTTGCATCTGTGTGCCTGTAGAGGTCAGGAGATGGCGTCAAATCCCTGGGAGCTGGAGTTACAAGTGGCTGTGAGCTACTAGATGTGGGTGCTGGGAAGAGAACTCAGATCCTCTATCATGTTAACTGCTGAACCACACCTCTCTAGTTCCCTTCCTAAGTTTTAAATCTAAGCATTTCCTATATAATACCAAAATTAACACTAAGACTTAATGTGTTACCATAGTAGATAGACGTGAGACTGTTTATCACTTTCCAACTCATGCAATCTAGTGAGACATAAGAGTTGCCAGAACACATCCAAGTCTGTTACAAAAAGAAGCAAATTACAAAGCACTATTCATTTAGACAAGCCATGATTTTAAACATAATTAATTTTCAGTGCAATTCATTAATGAATTTATTCAACATGATGACTTTTTAAAAATATATATGGTAACAAAATTACAGTTTTCAGCACTGAAAGTTATTGAAAAATCTTCCCAAATACTAAAGATGTAAGACAAGAACCAAAAGAGGTGTGCGACCAGCTTTCGGATGCTTTGACAATACTATTGCACTGCTAGCTGTAAAGTACAGTAGTGCAATAAAGTCAGAGCATTCGCTAGCAGTAGTGAGCAGGAAAGGAATGCAAGCTTCAGTGTGCAAAGACTTTAAAGTTGAGCAGCCATTATCGGTCAGAAGACATCCAAAACCTGAAAACATTTATACCAAGGTTTATTTTTAAGAGCAAAACACTCAAAGCCCAAGTGATTAATTACAGGTTTTAGGTAACTTAACCTGTAAGTAGCAGCATTCAAATACAAACACGCACAGATGTAAAGGAATTTTGTAATATGTCCTGAACCTTCAGTAATTAACATGGACATCAGTAATAATTTAGAACTGATATTAACAAAATCAGCTATAATTACTACTGAGGCAAATGTATGAAAAAAAAAATATTTCGGCTCTCTACTGAAGTGTAATGTTGGCTAACTCCTCTTCCAAAGCAATTGTTTACCTACCACTGAAAGCAAGTCCTTTGAATAATTACTTCAAAGAAAGCAAATGGAAAGGGCTGGAGAGATGATTCAGTGGTGAAGAGCACTTGGTTCCTGCTGAGGTCCTGGGTTTGATTCCTAGCACCCACTTGGTGGCTCAGAATCATCTGTAACAATTCCAAGGGATCTAATAATTACTCTTCTGACTTCTGGACACCAGTACACATGTGGTGCACAGACATAGATATACATGCAGGCAAAACACTCATTCATAAAAAAAATGAGAAAACAAATGACTATATACCCAAATTATCTCTATGGAATCTAATACACATGTACACACACACACACAGCACTTAATTTTGTCCCTCTTTAACTGAAGAGTTTATTGAGGGCCAATACAAAAAGAGAAGAGATTATCAGGGAACCATGCTTAACAGGAATATTAACCCAACATAACCTAACCTAACCTAATACTAGGGCAGGAACATCTTCACTATTTCAGTTTAACTCTTAAACTGTCCTATGTAGTGAAGACAAGCATATCCATTTCCTTCAAACTTAGAAATATCAAGAAAACAATGAGAGGGATAAAATAAGTTTCCGTAAAAGTCAAATGTAAACCAAGAAACACAATCCAAGTATCACATTACACTAGCTTTTGTGAACAGTCCCTAAGAGTGTCACAAAGGGAGGGCAGGAGACAATTACCACTCAATCAGTAATCGAAGGGAAACCCTCAGAGAACAAAGATTACTCTACAATGAGCTTATTCCACCATTAGTAATGTTGATTGATGCAAAAATATATTCCCATTATTTTCACTGACCTTCTTTTAAATGGTCCAATTCAGCTACTTAGACAGATTAAACCTACTAAAAAATGAACTCAGAAGAACTGGAACACAGGATACTTATCCTCAGATCTGGGGTCACAACACTCATGTTTGGGAATATTTAACTCTGCTAACCCAGCACTGTATTTCAAAGAAAAATGTTTAAAAAGCAAATTTAATTTTCTGAATTAGATGTTAACACAAGAAAAATATGAAAAAAAAATTCATTCAGATTAGATTTCCTTTACAACATCATGCACTGTTATTATATACATCCAAGGGCTCCTTTGAAAATCTTTTAAGTGATGTAAAGACTTTTAAATAATTTATCTTTGCTTAGAAATGACAATTTCAACACATAACTTTTTTAGGAACATGGTACATTTGAAGATGAGATGTCTTTTGCTATCTGATCAATAATAAGCTAAGGTTAATATTGAAAATTATGATAAAAATTAATTTTTAAGCCCTTGATTATGAAAAATAATAACTTGGAAAATTAAAATGCTACCGTGAATGTATTTCAGGAAATGCCACAAATGAAAATTTTAAAACTACCCCATAATTTATACAATATCCTAAAAGGTTAAAGTTTAGCAACTGTATAACTTCCTAAAATTTACTTTTTGCAGAATGCTTACTTGTGTTTTCCTTCAGATAATCTGCTCAATTTAAAAAACAAAATCTGAGTATTTAGTATACTGGAAAGGCTAGATAAAGCTTAGATATTGATCAATCAACTAAAGAAAATAACCTGTTAAAAACAGTATTAGCCTCAAACAAGGCAAAACTATCACCACCTACTCCAAAGAAAGGACTTCATAATGTGGGAGAACAACAAGAAAACTTACATGCCTGTTGACAGACTCTAACCACAATATTTAACGTTCTGTGTGTGTTTTAATATGCGAGGAATACCACACCCACGAACACACACACACACACACACACTTTATATTCACTTTTCAAGATTTGGAAAGCTGCAGAAAATTCTTATTCCCCGCCCCTTCGCCCCACGTACCCAGACTCCCTCCACAAAGAAAGTTTAAAATGCAATGTTAAAACAACAGAAAGCCCTCTAATAAAAAGTATGTGAAACACCTGAATTCATTAATTCCAGAGAAAAGAAACGGAGGCCTCACACTTTCTGGGGTAGAAATGGGGGGAGGGGGTACTCGCTATCTTCTAGGATCACCCCAAAGTCCTTTCCAAGGCAGAAGTTACAGACTCAAGACATTCTTTGGAGAGAGTAGCACAGACACATGGGTACCTATGCAGAGGGAAGGACAGATTACGAGCGAAGAGAAGTGTTTTACTTTTTAATATTAATCTTGTTATTTAAAGGGGGCTCCTTTACATTCTGTATTTTTGAGGAAGCTATTCCAATCTGGAAGAAAAGTGATCATGCAAAAGACTGAAGACAGAACAAGGGAACTAAGAAAAAAGGCGCGGCGATCAAGCGGCCAGTGCAAACATGGGAGGGCGAGAATAAAGAGGAAAAATGGGGAACCCTCCCAGAGAAACCTAAAAGGCGCCAGGGCTGGGCGCCCAGGCCACGCCACACACGCCAGCGGCCACCGAGGTCCTTCGTCCCGGGCTCTACTCGCAAAGAGGAAAGAAAAGGGGTAGGGGAAGCCACCGGCCTGGCCTGGCGTGATGCCGCACGCGCGCTCCTGGAAGGCGCTCCAGGCTCGGTGCCCGCGGCTCGCTCCTCTCTCTCGCCACCTCCGAGCTGCACGGAGCCGGCTCTGCGGGACCGCGGGGAAGTTTCTCGCAAGTCTAGAGTCCTCTTTCAGACCGTCCCAGCTGGCCTGCGAGGAGGTGAAGAGTGGAGCCCGAATTTCGGCGCCCCAGGACTTCTGCCCCACCTCATCCTCCATCGCCCCTCTTCGGGAACCGTGAACGAGCGACTCTCTCCTCCGCAGAGCTTTTAAGGACCGTTCCAGTCACATTCGGGGGAGAAAGGTGGGAACACTGAGACGGCGCCTGTACCGGGAGCGGCTCCTGGAGCCGGGGGAGGGGAAAGCGAGGGCCAGGGAATTACAAAGGCCCACACCCTCAACATCTCCCGCCATTTCCCTCACGAGTTCCCCGGATGTAACCCCTTCCCCCGCGGCGGTTAAGAGTCCAAGGCGGCCGTGGCTCGTTTCGAAGCAGGAAGAAGGAACTCGATTCAGATCCCAGCCTCCACCATCCAGAGTTTCGGCGGCTCCAAATTATGCCTTACCTCCTAGGCCTTTGGTGGAGCAAACAAATTGCCCCATAGGTTTCCCTCACTCTCCACTCACCATCAATTCCAGCTTATCGACCTCCGCCTCCATGTTGAATAGTTGACATTCCTGAGACCGCGGAGGCGCTTAAGCTGCTAGCCGTGCTAGCACTGAGGGTCTCTATTGGACAGCTGTCACTCAACATCTTGCGCTCATTGGCTCGTCCGATCCGCAGGCACCCGCCCATTGGCAATTGGGTAACGCCCCTCCATATGAAACACACTTTCCTGTTGGACAAAGACACAAAACGCCGTAGGCGGATTGGCTGCTGAATATGTGATTATTCCCGTTGGCTGCCTACTGTTCTCCACTTTCAATTTCATACTTGGGAAAGAGTTTACGATTGGTGTACTCGGAAGCAGCAGCAGCCAATGACATAAGAGCTTCCACTGCCGGCCTGGGGGACGTGACACACCTTCTTTTCTCTCCGGCTTCCCCGCCCCTTCTCGCCCGCCTTCCCCTATTCATACCAGAAGCGCCTCAGTTCCGATTGGCCAGGATGTGATGCGCTCTCAACCAATCGTAATCCAGGTTGTGCTTGGAACCTCTCAGGACAACGAACCCTGAAGACACCACGTCTACGATTGGTCGCTCCTCGGTGAGGATTTAATTTTGAATTTTTCTTTATGGTGTGGAAGAGGCTCCGGCCCGAACTTCGTCTAATCCTCAGGCTTTTAGACTAGTAAGTGCAGTGACTATTCTTTCTTTGTTACCTGTTCCCATCTTCCGTTGCTCGGACTGTTGATGGTTGGGTTCTTATGGCAAAAGGTGGTGGGTCTTGCCCTACACTGGGAGTAGATGGAGTATAAAAGAAAAGGTTTGGAGTAGGACAACAGCTCCGCTGGCAACATCTGAGCCACATTTTATTTAACACTCTGAAATATATGTTTTGAAGCAATTGCCTTTTGCTCAGTCTGTTTCGTTACTATTTGCTTCTCAAAGTGGACCCACTGACGAGCGGCTTTGGTTTCTCTGGTCGCTAGTGACAATAAAGAGGTCCATCCAAATTTACTGGATAAGAATATGTATTTAACCAGTTGCTCTCCCCCACGATTCTTCACCACCTTTAGGTTTGTGGAGGAATAGTTTTTTTGGACAGGTAAGGTTTTACAACGTTCCTTGATGCAGACTCACTTCCCACATGGGTTTTAAAACTATATCCTTTTACTATATGTCAGTACTGTGCTGGGTGACATTAAAAACTTGTGGTGACTCTGCCAGAGACACAAGAAAGAACCAGGGGTGTGGGGGAGCAATACTTCTCAATAAAACAAAAGTAACTCTAGGAATCCTAAATAGCAGTAATCAAGGTGAACCAAGTGAATTGGTAATGGAAATTAAATTGATTGCAGGCAATTTATGGGGGTATAAAAATGTGATTTAGAACGTTGGTGATGAAATGGCAACTGTCATTTCCGCTGCTGCCACAGTTTTGAAGTGTCCCCAGCCAAAGAACTTTTTATGTAACTGGTGGAGTTTTAACAGAAGCAGCAGTGTCAACTCATGCAGAAGACTGTTGTTCCAAGATGGGCTTGTATGACCCAAGGTGGCAAGGAATTGGCTGGAGCAAGGGATGACCCTGAACGCCAAATCCCCTGCTTCCACCTCTGGGGTTCTGGGATTACAGGACTGTGTGCCAACACAACTGATGTGGTGCTGGGATTGAACTAAGGGTCTCCTGTATGTGACATCAGCCCTCTTCCAACTGAGCTACATCTGCCAATGTAATTCTTGTTCTGTTATTTGCTGAATTTTCATACTTGGATAGGTTTTTTGGTCCACCCTTTAACTATAAAGATTTGATCTGTGGCCGGGCGGTGGTGGCGCACGCCTTTAATCCCAGCACTCGGGAGGCAGAGGCAGGCGGATCTCTGTGAGTTCGAGGCTGGGCTGGACCAATAGCCTCCAAAACAATACAGAGAAACCCTGTCTTGAAAAAAACCAAAAAAAAAAAAATTTGATCTGTGCTGGGCGTTGGTGATGCACACCTTTAATCCCAGCACTTGGGAGGCAGAGGCAGGCAGATCTCTGTGAATTCAAGGCTAGCCTGGTCTACATAGTGAGTTACAGGACTGACTCCATAGCTACTGAGAAACCCTGTCTTTGGGGGGAAAAAGATATGATCTGGAATAACTAACACTCACACACACACACACACACCAAGATACCTACCACTTAACTGTACTAGACTTAGAGGATATTGCTTAAGTAAAATGAGAATCATTGCTGACTAATACTAGAAAGTGATGGTATCCTTCATTCCTTTATTGGATAAAACATGTAATGTGGCTGGGAGGTGGTGCCTCACTCCTTTGATCCCTGCACTTGGGAGGCAGGTGGCTATCTGTGAGTTTGAGGCCAGTCTACAAAGCAAGTTCTAGGACAGTCAAGACTGTTACAAACCCTGAATTGAAAAAACAAAACAAACAAACAAAAAAACCATGTAATGCTTGCTGTGTTGTAAAGCTGAAGAAATAGATGAATAAATGTAGATAGGTGAGAAACCACACAACTTTAACCCTAACACTTGGAAGACAAGACAGAAAGATCAGGAGTTCAAGGTCATCCTAGGCTACATCTAGTTTGTAGTCAGTCATGATTTTGTATGCTTTGTGCGCCTATAATCCCATCATTTAGGAAGCTGAGGCAGGAAGCTCTTGGGTTCCAGGTCATCTTGTGTTATATAACACGACCCGGTCTCAAAAATGAATAAATAAATAAATAAAATGCATCTTATAAATTTGACTGGCAGTTCAATAAAACGCTTTTACTTCATTCACCGTTACCCCTTGGCATGAGGGTAGCCTCTGGGACTATTCTAATGACACCAAGGCACTTCCCAGTTTTCATACCCTGTAAAGGGAAGTGGGGATGTGCCCTGATAATCTGAATGCTGGGAAGTATATGCAAATGCCTAGTTCCAAAGCTTACCAAGTAAGCAGAAGTGGAATGAATGTTAATTTACCAGACACAGGATCCCACTAGATAGCTATGGCTGTCTTGGAAGGAGCTACTAAACCAGTTTGGCCTTGAACTCCCATAGTTCCACCTGCCTATGCACCACCACCTGGAGGGGCCTTACATGTGTATTTCAAAGGCTGATGTTTCCTACTCAAGTCTAAGTTTGAGGCACACCATTTTCATGTCTGCTACTTAAATAACAACACCTTTGTTCCTCAGGGATCAGCAACTAAAACTAGCAAAGCCCTTTTGGAACTTCTGATCAAACCAACCAAGACTTTTTTTCTTTCTCAGAAAAGGATAAATATTAAAGCATAAATATATTAAATAATGTTTTTTTGGTTTTTCGAGACAGGGTTTCTCTGTATTGTTTTGGAGGCTGTCCTGGAACTTGCTCTGTAGACCAGGCTGGTCTCGAACTCATAGAGATCCGCCCGCCTCTGCCTCCCGAGTGCTGGGATCAAAGGCATGTGCCACCAACGCCTGGCTAAATAATATCTTAAGTGCTTCAAAATAACAGCATTAAAGCAGATCTTTGATTTTGGCTAATTGTATATAGCCTGTTTAAGTTACTATTGCCCTGTAGTCTTTTAGAAAAAGTCATGGTCTCTGAAGACTTACAGGTCTATGTTTTTATACTTTATTGTATTATATTAGGCAGATATCTAATTTAACCCTCAGCTTCTTTTTGTATAAAACTGGGACTAGAATCCTCCTTGTCAGTTGAGGAGATTAAAGATTAACAGAGGAAAAGTACCCCACAATTAGGGGGGCAATTTATAAATGATCCCTCCCACTGTGACATCTGTGAGTAGATACTCATTATATGTTGGTGAATCACAAACCTATCTTTTTAATATTAAGCCATAATCCATTACAGCCATTTTCCTATTATAAGGAAAGGAACCTCTAAGTACTATAGTCAGTTGGTAAAGTGTTTTTCTGGTGTACAGGAAGCCTCGGCTTGGATCTCCAGCACTACATAAACCCAATTTGATATTGCCAGTCTCGGGTAAAGGCAAGAGTCATTCTTAGCTATATAGGTAGTTAGAAGGCCAGCCTGGGATGCATAGGATCTTGTCTCAAGATGACTTTTTAAAAAAGGAGGGGGGTTAACTAAATATTAGAACACTTGCCTAGACAAGTTCAAAGTCCTGGGTTTGATCTCCAGCTGGGGAAGATGGGTTGCAGAAAATAAGAGAAATTCATTTGACTTCATCAATGAATACAACAAAATCAGAGTGAGAGACTAATTGTAAATTCAAAGGAAGACTCTCCAGAGACATTTTCAATCTGACTTTACATTTTCATCCTTGTGAATGCTGTTAACTTTTTTCTCTCTGGTTTTTGTTTTGTTTTGATGTTTTGAGACAGGGTCTCATGTACCCAGGCTGCCCTTGAATGCACTAGGTAGCTGAAGCTATCCTTGTATGCCTGCCTCCACCTTCCATGTGGTGAGATTACAGGTGTGTACACTGTACCCAGGTATTTTTTTAGATGTTTTGGAGATAGAATCACTTTAAAGTGTTCTCCAATTCACAGTGGTCCTTCTGCCTTAAATCCCATCCCCCAGCACTCGGATAATAGGTACATACCACCCTCCCTACAACTATAATTTATTTCTTAACCAAGGCTGAAGAAGAAGGGGGAAAAAATGGAGCAGACAAAAAATAACCATGACCTATACAGGGGAGTATATAAAGTTCCTATGTCGCCGGGCGTTGGTGGCGCACGCCTTTAATCCCAGCACTCGGGAGGCAGAGGCAGGCGGATCTCTGTGAATTCGAGACCAGCCTGGACTACCAAGCGAGTTCCAGGACAGCCTCCAAAGCCACAGAGAAACCCTGTCTCGAAAAACCAAAAGAAAAAAAAAAGTTCCTATGTCATGTCGTTGAACTATGCACTGAAGGTTTATACAGTTTCTATATGTATGCATTACTCTCTAGTAAAACACATATTTCAGGTACTAAAGAAATGACTCTGAGGGTTAAGAGCACTAGCTGCTTTCTCTTCTAGAGGACCCAGGTTCCATCCCCAGTACCCAGATGGCAGCTCACAGCCATCTGTAACTCCAGTTGCCAGGAGACATGATATACTCTTCTGGCCTCAGAAGGTACCAGGCATGCAAATGGTGCAAAGACAGACACATATACAGCAAAACACCCATATACATAACTTTTGTTAACTTCAAATTTTTCTCTACAGAAACCATGCCTAAGTTCAAACAGCGAAGAAGGAAGCTAAGAGCCAAAGCCAAACGATTATTTAAGAAAAAAGAAGCATCCCGAGTTCAGCCTAAGCTATTGACACCTCCCCCTCCACCACCCACACCAGAAAGGTAAGGTGTGACAGAGGACCAAAAATGTGTGTAGAGTTACCAGTTCAGCCGAAGATAATATAGAATACCCAGTCAAATTTGAGTTTCATCCCCCAAATAAATCATTTTTAGGGATGTCCCATGGAATATTTGAGATATGCTTATACCAAAGTTATTGCTGGCCACAGTAGCTCATGCTAACTGTAACCCCATGACACAGGAGAATGAGGCAGGAGAATTGCTAGGAGGTGAAAGTTGTCTTGAGCTACATAGTGAGTTCCAGGCCAGTCTGGACTATGGAGTGAGAGCCTCTCTCAAAAACAACAAAAAAAGGAGTAGGGCATGGTGGCACAAATCTTAAATGGCATTACTCGGGAGGCAATGGCAGGTAGATCCCTGTGAGTTTAAGGCCAACTGAGAAATTTGTAGGGAGACCCTGTCTCAAAAAAAAAGTACATAGTGCCAGCAAGAAAGCTCAGCAGGTGAAGGCCTTTGCCTCCAGGCCTAACTACTTGAGTTTATAATCCCAGCACTCAGGAGGCAGAGGCAGGAGGATCTCTGAGAGTTTGGGCCAGCCTGGTCTACAGAGTGAGTTCCAGGACAGCCAGGGTTGCAAAAGGAAACCCTGTCTTGAGCCCCACCTCCCAAAAATTTGTTCAAATGAAATAAGAATCAGAAGGAGTTGTATTCAAACCCAAAGTACCTATTTTCTCTTTTTCAGTTTATTTTAATTATATAATTCTAGCAACTAAGTAATGAGAGAGGGGCATAGAACTGGAGTGAAACCACAGTTCTGGTAAGGCTGGTCATTTATTCCTTGAAACCCACAAGTTAAATGTATTATTGAAAGATCAGCTGAGTTCCAGGACTTGTAAAGTGCTGGTTTTCTTTTTTGTTTTGTTTTTCAAGACAGGGTTTCTTCTGTGTAGCCCTGGATGTCCTGGAACTCACTCTGTAGACCAGGCTGGCCTTGAACTCAAAGAGATAGACCTGCCTCTACCTCCTGGGCACTGGCATTAAAGGTGTGCGCCACCACCGCCCAGCCCAGGTGCTAGTTTTCTTAATAACTTACACTCTGTGTACCCCATTGTTATCCTAACTCCTCTCCACTTTCTTTTGTTGTTGATGAGAGAGGGTTTCTCTGTGTGAGATGATAGTTTCTTCCTTTGTTCGTTTTATTTGAAGCAGTCTCTGTCTCCAGTCCTGGCCACCCTGGAACTGACTGTAGCCCAGCCTGGCTTTGTGTTTTGGGAAATCCTCCTGCTTTACCCCCTCCTCTGTTTCTCTTCTGGTTGCTTGGATGTACCACCCCATTCAGCTTTTTTTATTTTATTTTTGGTATGATAGGGATTAAACTCTGAGTGTCACACATGGAAACAAAAAACAAAACAAACAACAACAAAAGACTGCTGAGCTATGCCCTTAACTCTAAGCCCCCTCAAGTAAACAAACAAACAAGAGTCAGGCTTTGTGGCTCACACCTATATTCCCACCACATGAACATAATAGCAGGTAGACAAGAGTTAAAATTTATTCTCTGCTACATACCATGTTTAACAAAGTCAGCATAGGACACATGAGACCCTATCTCAAAAAATAAAAATATATAGACTACAGAGATGATTCGGTGGTTAAGAGCAATTCTGCTCTTCCAAGGGACCCCAGTTTGATTCCCAGCACTCAAATGAGCCAGCTCACAACTGCCTGCAACTCTAGCTGCCAGACATCTCTTACCCTCCTCTCTGGCCTCTCACAGCACACCGTCACACAGATGCAGCATACATACACATAAGTTTATTTTTTAATCTAAAAATAAATAAATAAAGCTATGTTCAGCACACACCCATAGTGCCAACATTCAGGAAACAGAGGAGGGAGAGTTGGTGTAAGTTCAAGGCAAGCCTGGTCTACAGAATGAATTCCAGGACAGCCTACAAAACAATACAGAGAAACCATGTCTCAAAGTAAAAAAAAAAAAAAATTAAAGGCTTTTAGTCTGACCTAGGTTTGTTTTTTGTTTTTTGGGGTTTTTTTGGGGGGTGGTAATGTTTTGTTTTTTTGAGACAGAGTCTCACCATGTAGCCCTGTTTGGCCTAGAACTTGCAGAGACCCACCTGGTTTTATAGTGTGACTCGGAGCAGGGATGTCCTTTTTTTCTTGTTTGAGACAGGGTCTTACTATATTGTTCTGACTGGATTGGAACTCACTATGTAGAACAAGCTTGCTTTGAACTTATATCCATCCTCCTGTCTCTGGTTTCTGAGTGCGCACCACCATGCCCAGACAAGATCTACAGTTTTTATTTGCTTTGTTTAATGTTTCTTCCACAGAGTTGTTACTTCTTCAACTGATACACTCCAAAGCAGAAACTGGCTAAGACATTCTTGGAACTTCCGATTTCCTAACATCAAAGACACAATAAATGTTTGGATGAATAGAGCGTGGTGCATATACAGTTGCTGTCAGACATGTGTAGCCCAGGTATAGATTTCATAAACCTGTTCTCAGGAATATAGTTTTTGTTTTTATTCTGCCGTACTTAGTATTCATTCATTCTTGTATTGGTTCCTGGGCTTGACATACGCCTGAGGCTAAACTTGGATAAGATTAATCTGTGAGTTTACACCTGTCTGTGCATACGTGGCACCACTTCCTTTAGCATCCTTCTCATCAGATTCAGGCTTATTTATTTATGAATTTCAGAGTTTAGAAGTGTTGAAAGATGCCATCTTCCCTTCCCGAGTCTACCACAGAGAACTTCACAGTCTAAAACAACAGTTTTGTGCTTTGAAAAGTGAATTATGCAATCTCCAAGAAACACTGAAGGTTGGTATTGCTGAACAAACATCCAGAGACTTTTGTCTGAAAAGACTATGATAATAGGAAAGGACCCTGGATATATGTTTGGTTATTCCCTCAAATGTCAGGCAGAAAGACTTCCTTTTGCAAAGGAAGAAGACAAAACTATAGTGGGGGCACTGGGGAGATTGCTCTCCAGCTAAGAGTGTGTACTGCTCATGCAGAGGATCGAGTTTGTCTCCTTGAACCTACAATGGGGTCTTCACCTGCTTGTATCTCCAGCTTTAAGAGATCTAATCCTCTGGCCTCCATAGGTCACACACACAAAACCACATAATTAAAATCAAAAACTGTTGTTAAATGTGTATTTGGAGCCAGGCGTTGGTGGCGCACGCCTTAACCCCAGCACTCGGGAGGCAGAGGCAGGCAGATTTCTGTGAGTTTGAGGCCAGCCTGGTCTATAGAGTGAGTTCCAGGACAGCCTCTAAAACAATACAGAGAAACCCTGTCTCGAAAAACTAAAAAAAAAATTGTTTTTAAAATGTGTATTGGGAGCCGGGCATTGGTGGCGCACGCCTTTGATCCCAGCACTCGGGAGGCAGAGGCAGGCGGATCTCTGTGAGTTCGAGACCAGCCTGGACTACCAAGTGAGTTCCAGGACAGCCTCCAAAGCCACAGAGAAACCCTGTCTCAAAAAACCAAAAAAAAAAAAAAAAAAAAAAAAAATGTGTATTGGGAACAATTAATGGTCTCAGCCACACAAACAAAACAGAATTACAAAAGCAATTTCAATGAGCAACACGCTGAACTTAATCAAAATAGCAAAACAAAAAAACCCCAAAAAACTAAACATCTAGAAAAATGGGTACTTTCTTCCATTATTGAGACGAACATAAATTAATATAACTTTTATGGGGAATGGTGAAAGAAATGGAGGGAATGGAGAAATGACTCTGTGGCTAAAAGCACTTTCAGCATTTGCAGATTACCCAGGTTTAGTTCCCAGCACCCACCCACACTGGGTGGTTCATAACTGCCTGTAACTCTTGTTCCAGGGAATCTGATGCCTTCTTCTGAACATTGTAGGCATTTGCACTACACAGTGCACACATTCATATATAAAGTAAAATGAATACATCTTTAAAAGCTCTTGTTTTCAGCAGAAAGTCGAGAGGGCTGGGCTCAGTTGGTAGAGTGCTCAACTAGCATGCAGGAGACCCCTTACTACGTAAATCAGTCATGGTGGTATACACCTGTAATCTTAGTACTTAGACGGTAAAGAATGAAGGATTGAGTGTAAGGTCATCCCCAACAACATAGGGACTTTAAGGCCAGTCTCAGTACATGAGACCCTGTCTCACAAAACCTACTTTTAGCTGGAGCTATAGGTCAATGGTAAATCATTTGCCTGCCATGTGGACCGCCAAGCTCAATGCCCAATGTGAGGGAAGGGAGAGTTTGCAAATAATAAATACTAAAGTGTGATGAGTGTGCAAATGTAACATTTATGAGCCTGGGGGTACAGTTTTGTGTTAGTCTGTTGGTCTAGCATGCACAATATCCTGTGTTCAATCCTCAACCTGGCAGAAAGCCACAGAAGAAGCAGAAGGATACCAAGAATCCCCTTGCTGTCAATGTCAACACTTTCTTTAGGTGTGGTAGTATATGGCTCAGGCATGAGGATCTACCAGCAGAGACTACACAGTGAGTCCCAGGCCACTCTGAGCTAGAGAATGAGACTGTCTCACAAACCCAAACAAAAAGAACATGCCATTAAATAAATTAAATATAGAAGTATAGAAAGAGATGGTGTTGGGATTCTATAGGATGCTTCATGTATAGTTAAAACATGTACTGTGATACTTTTTCAGTTGGGCATGGTGATATGTGCCTATAGTCCCATCTGCTAGGGAAGCTAAAGCAAAAGGATCGCCTGAGCCTAGGAGTTCAAGGCCAGCCTGACTAATTACCAAGACCCTCATCTCAAAATAGCTAATCAGTCAACTAGTTCATGAAGTCAATTGCAGTATCCTTATGAGATATTTAGATTCATGATACTTTTCCTTATATATAGGGACATACATACAGATTATTACACATATAATATTCCAATTGTGAGTGTGATCCCCACCCCTGGAAACAAGAACAACAAAAACAAAGCCTGGGTGTGGTTTGGGTGAGTAAGATGACCAGAAGAGGGCGTTGGGTCTCCTGGAACTAGAGTTAGACAGTTGTGAGCTGCCCTATCTGTTCTGGGAACTAACCGCAGTCCTCTGCAAGAGCTGCAAGCTTGTAATTGCCAAAATTCTCTCTAGCCCAATAAACAATGGAATTATTGAAGTAAATTTGTTATTGTCAAGAGTGGCCATGCATTCCTGTAATCCTATTGCCCAGATAGCTGGGGAAACAATTTAACTTGAGTTTAAAGCCAGCCTGAGTGAGTTCTAGGCCAGCCAGAGCCAGAATGTGAAATGTCTCAAAAAAAAAAAAAAAAAAAAAAAGAAAAAGGAAGGAAGGAAGAACCCAAACACACACCACCAAATTAATCTACTGTTTGTTTGTCATATATGCTATTTTCCAGACCATCTCAGAAAAACCCTCTTATTCAAGCTGTTGTCATATGTGTGGTGAGAGCAATAAGCTTACAAAGGTGCCAGCCTGTGCTCCAACAACCCATGGAGAATCCCCAACCGTACTTCTTCCCACGCTGCCACAGCCAACCAGTCTTCTGCCTCCTCCTCCCCCTCCTCCTCCTCCTCTTCCTCCACCACCACCACCCCTAGCACCATTGCTGCTCAGAAAATCTGGTTCTACTAAAGCACTTCAGGTAAGAAATGATCAATAACAATGTATTTTAGCTAGACTCTAATATAGGAATAATGCCAAGCAGCCTTTCAAAATTGAGCCAAAGGCCTAGATATGAAGACTATATTTTGTTCTGATTCTATGTCTTAATTTTGTTAATTATTCTGATTTTATTTATTTATTTATTTCTGCTGATTTTTTTTTTTTTGGTGGGGTGGGGAGGATTGATTTTGGTTTTAGATATAGTAGCATTATATAGCTGATCTTGAACTGGTAGGCTCAAGCAATCCTTCTGCTTTAGCCTTCAAGTAGCTGGCATTATGACTGTATGTCACCACACCATTGTAATTATTGGGGTTTTCTTGTTGTCCTTTTGTTTTGTTTTAGGCTTTTGTTGTTAGCAGTTTTTGTTTGTACCCTGAGACCGGATCTGCTCTTACTGGCCTAGAACTCACTATGTTACAGCCTCTAACTTGTGATCTTTTGCTTCAGCTTTTGAGGAGCTTGTACTGTAGCCCACAAAATATACATATACATATACATATACATATACATATACATATACATATGTATATATACATACACACACAGACACCACTATACCTTGCTCCAATTATTGTACTTTTTGAAAGCTTTCTTCCAAAGACTAGAACACATATCTAATCCTAGTACTTGGGACGTAGAAGTAGGAGGATCTGGAGTTCAAGGTTACCCTTGGTTACATAGTGAGTTTATGGCTATATTAGGAGTTTGAGACCAGTCTCAAAACAAACATACAAAGAAAATTCTGCTACACAGGAGCTGGAAAGATGGCTGAGCAGGTAATAGCAGTTGCTGCTCTTACAGAAGACCAGGGTTTGTTTCCTAATACCTATATGGTAGGACACAATTATCTTTCACTGTAGTTTCAGGAGAGTTACCTCCTCTTGGAGACTCCAAAGGCACCAAACATACATGTAGTATACATACATAAATGCAGTCGAACATGAATATACATTAAAATATATACACTTTTTTAATTTTAAAGTTATTTTGTCTTATGTGAGTGGGTGTTCTGCCTGTTTGTAAGTCTGTGTACCATGTACATGCCTGGTGCCTGAAAAAGTCAGAAGAAGGCGTTCGGTCTCCTGTAACAGGAATTATAGTTGTGTGCGTGTCTTGAGTGCTGGGAACAGAACTCAGGTCTTCTGCAACTATTCTTAACCACTGAGCCATCTCTCCAGCTCCAAATAAAAGGTTTTTTGTTTTGTTTTTCCAGATAGGGTTTCTCTGTAGCTTTGGAGCTAGAACTTGTTCTGTAGACCAGGCTAACCTCAAACTCAGAGATCTGCCTGTCTCTGCTTCCTGAGTGCTGGGACTAAAGGTGTATGCCACCACAGCCCAGCTGCAAAACATTTTTAAAGGACTCTAGCACCACCCCACCCACCCACACCCCATCACCACCCACACCCCATCACCACCCACCCACACCCCCATCACCACCCACTCATATCCCCATCACCACCCACTCATACCCCCATCACCACCCACTCATACCCCCATCACCACCCACTCATACCCCCATCACCACCCACCCACACCCCATCACCACCCACCCACACCCCCATCACCACCCACTCATACCCCCATCACCACCCACCCACACCCCCATCACCACCCACCCACACCCCCATCACCACCCACTCACACCCCATCACCATCCACCCACACCCCCATCACCACCCACTCACACCCCATCACCACCCACTCACACCCCCATCACCACCCACTCACACCCCCATCACCACCCACCCACACCCCCATCACCACCCACCCACACCCCATCACCACCCACTCACACCCCCGTCACCACCCACCCACACCCCCGTCACCACCCACTCATACCCCTGTCATTCTTGCTTGCTCACATACAATGTGTTTAATCCTTAGGGTAAATAAAAGTTAATTTGCCAGGAGGTAGTGGTGCACGCCTTTAATCCCAGCACTCAGGAGGCAGAAGCAGGAGGATTTCTGTGAGTTCAAGGCCAACCTGGTCTACAGAGTGAGTGCCAGGATAGGCTCCAAAGCTACACAGAGAAACCATATCTCAAAAAAAAAACAAAAACAAAAAACAAAAATAAAATAAGAGTTAACTTTAGATAGGTGTAGTGGTAAATTCCTATAATCCCAGCATTTGGAAGCTGAGACAAAAGGACTGTCATGAGTTTAAGGCCAGTTTAACCTATATATGGAGTACTAAGGCAGCCAGGACTTCATACTAATACCCTGTTTCAAAAATAATGGTAGGGGAAAAGCAAAAAATAAAACAAATAACAATAACAATTTAACTTTCAACTCTGTATCTTTACAAAGTAAACTTGGATTTGGATTTCACTAGATGTCCTGATGCCAATTTTAATTCTAACCTCTCTGTGTATTTTAAGACTGAACCGTTAAAGAAAGATGGACCCATGCATATAACAGTTAAAGATCTACTCACTGTAAAATTAAAAAAGACACAGAATATTGAAGAAAGGAAGAAGGTAAGATGTCACTGCACACACACAAGGTCTTCTTCCTTTTGGGGCAGGGGCTGTTTTGTGTATGTGTTATATTTGTGTGTTTGCGGGTATATGGAGGTCAGAGGTTAATACAGGATGTCTTCCTCCATTGCTTTCTACCTTACTTTTATTTATTTGTTTATGTAGCCCTAGCTTTCCTGATCCTCACTGTGTAAACCAGGCTGCCTCAAACTCATAGAGATCCACCTGCCTCTATCTCCCAAGTGCTGGGATTAGCAATATAAATTAACACTGTAAACACTGTACCAACTAAAGTGTCTCCAAAGCTCACAGGTGTGTTTTTCTTGGTACTTATCCCAGGCCAGCTTCAAATTCTTGAATACACCATACCTAAATCTCACAAGTGTTAGAAATACAGTGTCATGCCTTGTGTATTAATTTTTTAACCTGGTTGTTCCTTTGGGAAAATATGGTAAACCTTATTACAGAAATCATTCTGTTGGTGCTAGTTAAACAATTCAGTGACAGAGCATTTGGGTTCAATTTCCAATCCTTAAAACAAACAAACAAACAAACAAAAAACAGGCTGAAGACATGGCTCAGTTGGTAAAGTGCTTGCCACACAAGTATGAGGGCCTAAGTTTAGCGCTTCAATACCCATGTAAAGAAAGCAGCCTCACCTATACTCCTGATACTGGAGAGGTGAAAACAGGCCCCCAAAACTCACTGGCTAGCAGGTCTAGCCAGTCAGTGAGCTCCATGTTCAGTGAAAGGCTGTCTCAATATGATAATGAGTGATAGCAAAGATGCCTGGCATTGACCCCTGACCTCCATGCACATACATGCATACATAAGAACATGTATACATACATCTATCATATATACCCATACATATCTCACATTTCAGATGGACACATGTTGAAAACAAATGGTCCTAGCACTTGGAGGGTAGTGGCAAAGAATTAGTAGTTCAAAATCATCCTTAGGTACACAGGAAGTCAAGAGGCTGGTCTGAGAGACACTATAGATAGAAACATACTAGATAGATGTAGTAACATGTAGTCTTAGCACTTAGACTAAGGCAGGAGGATTTTTTTTTAAAATTCAAGGCCACATCATAATAAGTGCCATGCCAGCCTGCTGAAACCAATGGGATTTTTTCTAATAAAACCCCAGGGAGATAAGGGAATGTGAGAGAGCCTTTGACCCTTTGAAATAAAGAATTGAATCGTGGAAAACATACACTCTGGCAGTCAAACATTTGCTACTTTGGTGTGTTTACATTAGAATAATATGTCTCTTTAATGTCTCCTTTTATAATTAAAGCTTATACCATCACCACCAGAGAAACGGAATCCACTAGTTACTATCTCTGACCTGCAACGAGTTACTCTGAAACCCAACTCCAGGATGTTAACAACACGAGTTAAAAATGTCTTAATGTAAGGAATTGCACCTTATTATGCTCTACTGCTACTTAAAACCTGATTTTCTTTTGCTTCTTTTTAAGATTTAAATGTAGTTTATTGTTGTTGCATGTGTATGTTGAGGTGGGGGAACATACACATGCTACTGCCCTTGTATGGAAGTCAGAAGACAACACTGTGGAGTTGGATTCTCAGGGATCAAACACTGGCTGTCAGTCATGTGCAGCGAGGGTCTTTCCCCACTGAAACATCTCACTGGCCCTTTTTGGGACCATTTTTAACCTTTTGGTTTGTGTTGTTGTTTGTTTGTCTCAAGACAAGAGTTCACTGTGTAGCTCTTGCTCTCCTGGAACTCGATAGGTTGACCAAGATGACCTTGATCTCACAGACATCCATCTGTCTCTGCCTCCCAAGTGCTGTGGTTAAAGATGTCTGCCACTACACCCTGCTGTATTTTTAACTTTTAAAGTTACTATGCTCAGCCGGGCGTTGGTGGCGCACGCCTTTAATCCCAGCACTTGGGAGGCAGAGGCAGGTGGATCTCTGTGAGTTTGAGGCCAGCCTGGTCTACAAAGCGAGTTCCAGGAAAGCCTCCAAAACAATACAGAGAAACCCTGCCTCGAAAAAACAAAAACAAAAAAAACAAAACAAAACAAAAAAAAGTTACTATGCTCGTTATAAAAAAAATTGAAACCTACAGAAAAAAATTAAAGAGAAAAACAAAACTCATGTAGATAATTCACTTGGATCTATGTAATTCATTCAACTCCCAATCTAATAGTTAATCCTATTATTAGAGACAGCCATTGATAACATATCGAATGATTTTGTTGTTGTCATTACTTGATTTAATTTTTATAATTCTAGTCTTTTTTTTCCCTAACCATTCACTGCTTTATTCCCTCCTTCAAGAAGCTGACATACCACTGATTTAATAACAAATTTGAGGCAAAAATAAAATACTAACAAAGATTTTTTTTAGCCAGGTGTGATGGCACATGCCTATAATCCCAACAGGAAGATCAGGAGTTCAAAGTCAAAGTCATCATCACCTATGATAGTGAGTCCAAGGCCAGCCTGAGCTACATGATACCCTGTTTAAATAAACAGACATTTTTCAAACTTCCAGGTTCGGGGCTGGTGAGATGGCTCAACAGGTAAAGGTGTTTGCTGCCAAGCCTGAAGTCCCGAGTTCAATCCCTGGGACCTATGAGGTACATGGAACCAAACCTAAAAGTTATTCTCTGGCCTTCACATGTGAACAGTGACACAAAGACATACACACACATTTTTTGGTTTAGAGTTCATTAATCTCTCTGACTCCCAACTATGAGTACAGTGCACCCAGAGCCCTCTGCCGTGACTTTTCTGCATGATGGACTGTACCTGTTTTTTCTTTTGTTGTTTTGTTTTGTTTTTAAGATATGGGTTTTACTATATAGCCCTGACTGACTTGGAACTCATTTTGTAGACCAGGCTGGCCTTGAACTCACAGAAATCTGCCTGCCTCTACCTCCTGAGCGCTGGGATTAAAGGTGTACACCATCACCATCCAGTTTCTGTTTTCTTAGTGTGGCAAAAAGAACTACTTTCTAGGAACTTGCCTATAAAACTGACCTGTTTTTGGAAAAATGGTGAAATCTGGAATGTTCTGAGCATTCTTCCCGTCAGCCTGGTCCCAATGCCGTATCAAATGAACATGCAGGATTCTTTTTTTTTTTTTTTTTTTTTTTTTTTTGGTTTTTCGAGACAGGGTTTCTCTGTGGCTTTTGGAGGCTGTTCTGGAACTCACTTGGTAGTCCAGGCTGGCCTCAAACTCACAGAGATCCGCCTGCCTCTGCCTCCCGAGTGCTGAGATTAAAGGCGTGCGCCACCAACGCCCGGCTAACATGCAGGATTCTATATTAATTATGAAGCTGTTGGCCATTTGCTTGATTTCTTATTGGCTAGCTCTGACTTAATTATTAACCCATAACTGCTAATCTAAGTATTTCCATGTGGTCTTCTCTTACCTGAGAAAGGGTCTGGACCTCTTACTCCTCTCGAGTTCTACATGGTAACTGACTGTGCCTCCATTTCCCAGAATCCTCCATCTCTTCTAGTCCCACCTATCTTGCTTCCCTATTTGCCAAAAGTGCTTTATTCATCAACCAATAAGACAAACATACACAGGACTTCCCCCATCACTGGAAAGTTTTAATTTTTATGACTTTATCCTCAGTACTCCGGGTAAAAGCCAACTAGATCTTCGGAAGCTGCTGAGAAAAGTCAATGTAGACAGGTAATAATCTCTCATCCTTATACTTTCCAAGTCAGCTCAAAAAGTGGGGATAAAACACAGCTCTGATCTTTTGCACACTTTTATAGGAGCCCAGGTGGGACCCCTCTCACCAATAAAGAAAATATGGAAACAGGAACTGGACTGACTCCAGTCATGACCCGGGCCTTAAGGAGAAAGTTTCAGGTGAGTCTGCGGAAAACCTAAAAGCCAAATTAAGTCCTGAACAATAATTTATGTAAGTGCTGAGAGTGTAGCCCAGCATGCATGAGGGCCTGGCTCAGTGCCAAGCACTAGAGGGAAGGAGGGAGGGAGAATAAGCTGATTTATTTAGACTCACAGTCTAAAATATATATTTATATATTTCTAAAGAGGGTCTCACTGTGTACCCTCACCAGACTGACCTCAAGTATATCACCTTCCTGACTCAACTTCCCTAATTCTAGGATAATAGGCATGTCCCACTACCTAAAGTAACTCTCTTAGTAACAATAATAATAGGGGCCAGAGAGGTGGCTCAGTGGTTAGCAGTGCATATTGTTCACTGGCAGGTGGCGTCACAACACCTTTAATCCCAGTGCTCAGGAGGCAGAAGCAGGTGGATCTCAGAGTTTGAGGCCAGGCTGGTCTACATAGTGGTTTTCAGGACAGCCAGGGCTATACAGAGAAACCCTGTCTCGAAGAAGAAGATGGGAGAAGGGAGGAGGAAGAAGAGGAGGAGGAGGAAGCAGCAGCAGCAAAAAGAGGCTGGAAATGTAGCTCAGTGTTAGAGCCCTTACCTAGCACATGGGGCACGCTAGGTTCAGCCTCTAATACAGCAAAGGCAAATAAACAAATCAAAGAATGATAATTTTTCATTGTATGCTTTGCACCATGCTTTAATTATTTGGTATTATAAAATTCTATGAAGAAAAACTATTGTAATATACAGCTAAGATAATGGTTTAATTTCCTCTAAGAGAATTTATCCAGTACTTCTGCATGGTAAGCACTGTTCTAGAGCACCAAATTAGAATGGTTAGAAAAGGCAGACACAGATCTGCTGCCTTGAACCTTTCAGTTCAGTGGAAAATCAAATAATCCCTTATTATCGCATCCCATAGTAAGTGCTATTAAGGAAAGGAACAAAGTTTTGTGGGAACCAGAAATAGGAAATGATTTAGCCCATATGGTCTAACATGGAAGGTTTCCATAGGTAATAATTGAGACAACTAAAGAATGAATAGGAATTAATAAGGAAAGGATTATCCTACCATAAATGTCATGGAGGAGAAATCTAGGCAACAGAAGAACAGCATGTATGTATGTATAAGTGTCCCATACTGAGAGGCATAATGGCCTATATGACAAACTGAAAAGTGTTGTGTGGTGGTCTCTAAAGCAGGAGCCTGACAGGTGACAGACAGGATAGAGACATGAGTCTGGCTGTGCTGTGCGCTTTTAACGGAAAAAGGTTGGACAGCTTTCTCCATCATCACCTGCTTGATGAGTGCCATGATAAAACAAGAGAGGCTGGTCCTGGTCTCCTCGTTTCCACACCTGTTTGTCTTAGTCTTCCTGATTTCATATATCTTTTTTTTTTTTTTTTTTTTTGGTTTTTCGAGACAGGGTTTCTCTGTGGCTTTGGAGGCCATCCTGGAACTAGCTCTTGTAGACCAGGCTGGCCTCGAACTCACAGAGATCTGCCTGCCTCTGCCTCCCAAGTGCTGGGATTAAAGGCGTGCGCCACCAACGCCCGGCGATTTCATGTATCTTTGACTCTGAAGAGAAGCCATCTCCTGCCTCCCCTGCTGGAATGCTGGGACTTCTTTGCGGGCCTTTGTGGCATTGAACACCATGGTTGCTCTCGGCAGAAGTACCACAGACTCCTGAGATCAAGGGAAGAAGCTGCAGAGAGGGCCTTAGCCACTTCCTTTCTCTGTTAGCGATAGGACCCTTGCTGCCCTTGTCCCCGCACAATAGCTAGTACAGTGTACCAGGAACCATGGAAACACATGAAAATATAATAATAATAATATAATAATAATAATATAAACCCATATGTTGTGAAACAGCAAAATCACAGATGAAATTTTGCCATAGTTTATGTTACCAAAAATCCACTTAGTAGGAAGATATGCAGCAAAATTGTTAAAGAATGATTTTCCCGCTCAGCCATAGACCACAGAGGATCTAATCAAAATATCATATACATACATATATGTATGTATGTATATATATATATATATATATATAAAATAGCCAGGTGTCGGGCAGTGGTGGTGCATGCCTTTAATCCCAGCATTCAGGAGATGGAGGCAGGTGGATCACTATAAACATACCCTTACCCCCAAGAATAATTTTTCTTTACAATTTGTCTTTTTTTTTTCTTTTTTCTATCGAGATAGGGTTTCATTGTGTAGCCCTGGCTGTCCTGAAACTAGCTCTGTAGACCAGGCTGGCCTCGAATTCACAGAGATCCACCTGCCTCTGCCTCCTGGGATTAAAGGCGTGTGCAACCACCGCTCAGCTTTTTTTTTTTTTTTTTTTTTTTTTTTAGCTGAGGACCTTACAATTGCTCAGCAAGCACTCTACTTTGAACTAAATCTCCAGCCACTAGAATTCATTTTCTTTTTTTGTTTTGTTTTGTTTTAGACAGTCTTACCTTATATCTCTGGCTGACCCCAGCTGGAATTCATTTCTCAGCTGAACATTCCTTTGGGAAATAGGAAGTCCACAGCTGGTGCATCTGTTTCATCATGTCCTTCCTGCTCTTTAGTCCTTCACTGTTGCTTAGTTTTGTTGTTGTTTGGTTTCGTTTTGAGCCAGAATCTCACTATGTAGCCCAGGCTGGCCTCAGTCTGCCAAGTGTTGGGATTCCAGACATGCTCTCTTCCATCCATAATGCATGGCTTCTATCGTTATGGTGCACAACGGCAGTGCTTCTATAGGCATATATTCACATCTCAGGCCAAAGGAGAAAGACCAAGGACAAGGGGCTGGTCAGCTTCTGTTTGTATCGGGAAAGCTGGTGTAGGTAGGTGGCTAGGAATGCATTGCTGCCTTGCAAAAAGCATCAAGGCTTTGTTAATAAGGAAGAAAACTTTGTTAGTCATAGGGACATCACTCATGTTGTAACTGTGATTTTCTTTGTTGTAGCTGGCTCACCCTCAAAGCCCTACTCAGTCTCTACCACTTCCTACAAGCAGCTTTGATGAACAAAACTGAGGCCAACTCTGCCTGACTCTGTGAAGGGATCCATACAATGGCAGACCAAGCCCCTAAATTTTAATGTACTAAAATATGTATAGCTCTACGAATGTAATTCTACTTGAAGAATCAGAGTGAGTATGTATGGAACCTACACAACTGTGCCATAATGGGAGCATTTAGATATTTTCTGATGGTTGTGATGGTAAGGGAACCAGATGGGAAGATGCAATCTGCAAAGAAATGTTTATCCTGGAATTACCCAATTTTGGTTACAGTGACTGTTCAGATTTAATTCCATAGGGGCTGATGATATGGTTCAATGGTTAAAGGCATTTGCCACCAAGACTCATGACCCAAGTTCAATGCCCAGGACACAAATGGAGGGAAGAAAGAACTATCTCCCACTGGTTGTCCTCTGACCTCCACATGTGCACTATGATATATTCCTCCTTCCACACACAAAATAATAAACATGTTAAAAATACTAATGGGTTGAAGCAGGCTTGTTTTAATTTAAATAAGAAAAATTTTAAAAATACTAATGGTATAACTAGCTTATTATATAAATATAGTTATGACATTAATAGTCTGGATACTAGAAAAAAATGGCTCATCAGTTAAGAGCACTTGCTTCCTTTCCAGAGACCCAAGTTCAGATTCTAGCACTCACTTCAAGTGGCTTACAGATCCAGGAAATCCAATGCCCTCTTCTTGCCTAGCTGGGCACCTGTACTCATATGTACACAAGTACACAAACACACAACTAAAAATACAAATTTTTTGTTGTTGTTTTTTGTTTTTTATTTTTTTTATTACTTTAATTTTAAATAGCTTGCTTCACATATCAATCCCAGTTCCCTCTCCCTTCTCTCCTCCCGCACCCCCCCACCATCCCCCTCAGCCTCCCACCCTATCCCCATTTCCTTCCACATAGGTGATATCCAGAGTCATTTCTCTCAGGGTAGGGTCCAGGCACTCCCCTAAGAGTGCAGGCTGAAAGAGCATCCCTCTTTGTGTTATGGACACATGATGTCTGTTTGTATGCCAGGGATAAACACTGATCTACTGCCCAGGGCCCCATAGGTTGCTCAGGCCTCCTCACTGACTCTCACACTCAGGAATTCTGACTCAGTCCCATGCTGGCCTCCCGGCTGTCGGTCTGGGGTTCAAGAGCTCCCCCCTTGTTCACATCAGCTGTCTCTGCTGGTTTTGCCAGCCCATTCTTTGCCAATTTGCTCATCGCTCCTCTCTGTCTCTGTCGCTGGGTTCCGTGGTTTCAATTCAGTGTTTAATTGTGGGTGTTTGCCTCTGAAAAATACATAATTTTAAAAAGAAGGTAAAGAACATAGCCTGGTTCCGGTTTGTCTCAGGCTGATTCATCCATTGCTACAAACTTGACCCATAAAATAAGACTCTCTAGCTGGGCATGGTGACACATGCATTCAATCCCAGCACTTAGAAGGCAGAAGCCCAAAGATCTCTCTGGGAGTTTGAGGCCAGTCTGGTCAATATCGCAAGTTCCAGATCAGCCAGAACTATACAGGAGAGATCCTGTCTTAAAATAAAGAAGTAATTTAGAGAAAAACAAAACAAAACTACAAAACTCAATGTGACCTGAAAAATTCGAACAGACCCTGTATTTGTTTGAAATCGAGAAACCCTGTCTCAAAAAAACACCAAAAAAAAAAAAAAAAGGAATATAAGATACTCTATTAAATTTGAATTTCAGGTAAACCACAAATAACCTTTAAGTATAAATCTGTCCTACTAGGAACAAATATTTGAGAGTTACAGAGTACACTCAAGGCCATGTGCATGCTAAGCTAGTAGAAATATCTCCTTAATAGTGAACTTGAAGCACTTAAACATTTAAAAAAATGTATTTAGGTCTTTGCAGGGAGTTCAGGAATATAGAATTTGTTGTCTAGAATGTTCATAGCCCTGAGTTCAATCCCTAGTACTAACACACACACACACACTCTCTCTCTCCCTCTCCCTCTCCCTCTCTCTCTCTCTCTCTCTCTCTCTCTCTCTCTCTCTCTCTCTCTCTCTCTCTCATGATGGTTAATCTCAGTTATCTATTTCCGATTGCCTGTAATCACCTGGGAGATAGGCTTTCTCAGACATTATCTGCATTAGGTAGATTGAGATGGGCTGACCTACCCTCTGTGGGTAGCACCATCTCCTAAGTTGAAACCTTCTTCACTGTGGATTCAATGTGACTTGCTGCTTCAGGCTCCTGCTATCTTGATCCCCTCTCTCCATGTGTAGTGAATGGTAGAACTGTAAACCAAACAAACTCTTCCTCCCTTAGACTGATAGTGTCAGCATCACAGCACAGCAACCAGAAGAGTAACTAATAATTATATAAATAATACATTTAAATATAAATCTAAAAATAAAGGTAATGGCCCCCTTATCCATTAAAAAACAAAATGAAAAACCCCAAAGACTTCAGATATTCACTGAACTTTCTAGTCAAATAGGAAGCAGCCACATAGATAACAGCCTTAAAATTTTAATCATCCAGTTCACTGTACCTCAAAAGGTAATTTAATGATGCCCTAAACATTCCTGGAGGGTTTGTTTAATTTTTTTTTTTTTGGTTCTGTGTTTTGAACCAGGGCCTTTCACACAGTTATAGCTCCAGGTCAAATCCCTGTATTACCATTGAATGATAATACTTTGAGATGCCAAATCACATTGTCAGAAAGTTACCAGACTAGAAAGTAGTCTTGGGGACAGTGTTTAGCACCTTGAGGTGGTCCTGTTTATGAGATCCACATTTATGTTTATAATACAGAAAACATAATATATCTAGAACCTGTATGTTTGTTTGTTGAAACAGGTTTTCATGTAGCCCACTCCGTCTCAGAACTATTTAGCTAGGATGACCTTGAACTTTTGATCTTTCCTCCACTTCTTTTTTTTTTTTTAAAGATTTATTTATTTATTACATATACACCAGATTGAATTGTAGATGGTTGTCAGCCACCATGTGGTTGCTGAGAATTGAACTCAAGACCTCTGGAAGAGCAGTCAGTGCTCTTAACCTTTGAGCCATCTCTCCTGCCCCCTTTCCTCCACTTCTTGCATGCTGGGATTAAGGCATATACCACTAAGTCCAGAAGAACTTTTTGGAAAACATGTTAGCTAGTTTGATATTATATAAAAATACCCGGGCAGTGGTGGCGCATGCCTTTAATCCCAGCACTCGGGAGGCAGAGACAGGCGGATCTCTGTGAGTTCGAGGCCGGGCTGGACCGATAGCCTCCGAAACTTATGCAGAGAAACCCTGTCTCATAAAAACCAAAAAATAAAAAAAAATAAAGGAAATGATCACTGAAAATAAAGGATTTATAATAGAATGGTATTTTGTGGGGCACTTATAATGTTTACAATATTAATAAACCAATATACTACAAAGTGAGTTCCAGGACAGCCTCCAAAGCTACAGAGAAACCCTGTCTCATAAAAACCAAAAAATAAAAAAAAATAAAGGAAATGATCACTGAAAATAAAGGATTTATAATAGAATGGTATTTTGTGGGGCACTTATAATGTTTACAATATTAATAAACCAATATACTACAAAGTGAGTTCCAGGACAGCCTCCAAAGCTACAGAGAAACCCTGTCTCGAAAAACCAAAAAAAAAAAAAAAAAAAAAACCAATATACACTTTACCATTGTAACTGAAATAACATAATCATTCTTATGACATAGAAGGTTCACTTAATAAAAAAGCTAGGCTCAACATAGTGGCTTCTGTGTTGCCCCAGCTACTTAGAAGACTGAGATGGAGGGAAATGTATGTTCAAGGCCAGTAGCCAGCATGGGCAACTTGGTGAGAACCTGTCTCAAAAAATAGAAGTTTTATAGGCAAAACATTTACAAAGCTGCTATTATTGTTGTATCAGTATTAAAATGTACCCTACTTTAAATTGTTTACTAATTTTTATTTTAGAATTTATATGCTTTTTCATTGTAACCATTTGAGTACTCTGCATGTTGTATAATTTCATTAAACTACTGCTTATATGCTCCTAGTATTTATGTTGTTTTGCTTGTTTTGATACTGGGTCTCACTACGTAGCCTTGTCTGTCTTGGAGCTCCTTATTCACAAAGATTTGCCTGCTTCTGCCTCTGGAGTGCTGGAATTAAAGTCACAAACCTCCACACCACATTTTAAACTTAAAAAAAAAATAATGACAGCACTGGGGAGGCAGAGGTTAGTGGAGCTCTGTAATTCAAGGCCAGCCTGCTCTTCATAATGAGTTCCAAAACATCCAGGGCTACACAGAGAAACCCTACCTTGAAAAACAAAATAAAACAAAACAACAAGAAAAGCGGGCATTGGTGGCGCACGCCTTTAATCCCAGCACTCGGGAGGCAGAGGCAGGCGGATCTCTGTGAGTTTGAGGCCAGCCTGGTCTACAGAGCGAGTTCCAGGACAGCCTCCACAGAGAAACCCTGTCTCGAAAAACCAAAAAAAAAAAAAAAAAGAAAAGAAAGAAAAAGAAATATAACATATAAAAGACAGGGGGCTAGTGAGATGATTCAGCAGGTAAATGTGATTGCTTAGCAAGCTTGATAGACCTGGGTTTAATACCTGGATCCCATGTAAAGGTGGATGGAGAGAATCAGTTCCTCAGTATTGTCTTCTGACCTCTGTAGGTGAAAGTATCTGTCCTGCAAGCCACTCCCAAGCAACCACACAGAGGCTTAATATTAATTATAAATGCTCAGCTAATAGCTCAGGCTTGTTACTAGCTAACTCTTACATATAAATTAACTCATATTTCTTATATACTTTGCCACATGGCTTGGTATCTTTTTTCAGTAGAGCATGCCCATCTTGCTTCTCTCTGCATCTGATTGAGATTCCTGACTCTGCCCTTCTTCCCAAAATCATCCTAGTCTCGTTCTCCCACTCAGTCTCTTCCTGCCCAGCTATAGACCAGTCAGTTCTTTATTAACAATGAGAATAATACATATTCACAGTGTACAGAAGGATTATTCCACAGCAGGCCTTCACATGCTTAGTGTGACATAATTCTCCACATACATCATACACACATAACAAATAAGAGTCATTTTGTCTTGTTTGCTTGTTTAAGAGAAGACCTGAGCATAATAATGCATGTCTTTAATCCCAGCACAGGGGTGGCAGAGGCATGGGAATCTCTGTGCGTTCAAAATGAACCTGTATACATAGCAAGTTTGAGGCCAGCCTAGGCCACATAGTGAAACCCTGTCAAAAAAAAAAAAAAAAAAAAGGAGGAGAGGAAAATACTGGGGCTTGGGATGAACTCAGTTGGTCAAAGACCATGAGTAAAGCCCTGGGTTTGATCTCTAGCATCTAATAAAAGCCAGGAATGGTATTTTATACCTCTAGGAAGTTGTGACAGGAAGATCAATCAGAAACTCAAAGTCATCGTCAGCTACAT